CATCAAAAGCTAATGAAAAAAAATTTTAATCAGTGCAAATGAAAGAAAATGGTTCCAAATGTAATATAATCGATGCAAAATGATTTTAAATGGTGCAAAGTGGAAGAAACCTTACCTGAACGTTAATGGCGAACAAGAGAAGAAAAGGAAGAAGATGAACGCGCGTAACTGGTGCTCGCGTTCTGGAATGGGTGAAAATGTAGGGTATTTGACATTGGCCCCCTCCTAGCCGACATCAAATTTCTCTAAGACGTTAGCCCCTCTTCCCTGTCAACGTCTAAGTGGTAAAAAAAATTAATATTAGCTCCTAAAATGAGATAATTTCACACCTTTTTGATGTTTGTGATGAGGGGAGCCAATGTCTATTTCAAATTAGATGTCGTGGGACATGTAGCCGACGTCCAAATTCTATAAAATAATGACTTTTCAATTCTAGGTAAAGACCATTTAACGTTTGACGTTGAGGGAGTCGACATCTAAACAACATTTAACGTCTATGCCGTTTTATTTACAAAATTGTCACTAGTCATTTTTTATGTTGGATTATGTTGCATTACACATTAAACATGTGACATTAAATGTTATTTTTGCACTAGTGTTAAAAGGTGTTCGAAGGGTGGAAGGAGGAATAAATATTTAAACAACTTTTGGTCTTGACTCTTAAGTAATGTGAGACTATTGGGTGTACTAGAACAAGCCTCTCTTCCCACAGACGAGACTAATGTTTTGATTTCAAAAGTTCATATCGTTAAGGTCAATTACCACATTTGAGATATTATTTATTTTAAAGTTTGAAACTTTGTCATGATTTTGTCCATAAAAAGTACCTTTGAAGATTAAAGGAGAAAGAAGTATTTAAACTATTTTTAGTATCGATCCTTGAACTATTTAAGACTATTATATGTAACGGAATGAATATGAACGTGTATTTAGAAGAAAAAAATTGATGTGATAAAAAAGTTAAAATCTTGTTACAATTGTATTAACAAAATAAATGTCTTAAATTGCCACTAATTTATATAACGATGCTATATGAAGTCATGCATGTCATAAACAACCTCAACACCACGTGTGTGAATGGAACTTGAGAATTACCAAAACAATTAGATTTTTTTACTAAACAATGGTTTTGTATATAATGATAGAAGAGGGAGTGGGACAGAAGAGTAGAATTGTTAGCGTTGACTTATTTTGGATGAAGAACAATGTTAGAAGTGAAAAACAGACAATAAAGAGAAGATTTATTATTGATCATAATGGCAAACAAAGTTTGAATAGTGTCAACAAAGGTTGAACATATAAAAGGAAGTAACAGTAAATATAGTTACCAAAGATAACATATGTGTTATACTTAGAGTTATAAAGTACATGTTCTGTTATCTTAAGGATTGTTATCTAATATTTATGTATTAAGTACACAAATACAACATAACCATTTTATGTATGTGTTTGGTTTTCTAGTTGTAAAAGGGTTAGACACCCCTCTGTCATTGTTAATCTGCCTATTATATTATTGATAAAAAAAAAGAGATTATAAAGACATAAAATTTGACCCCAATTGCATCACTTCAGCCTAAATATTATAATTATAAATGTTTTAATTAATTCAATTAATTAGAGCTGCATGGGTAGTAGAATTTATGAAACAAAAATAATAATATTCCCTTTTGGAGTACAATTCTACATGATTTTGCTCTACTAAATCGACCTAACAAATAATAATCATTTATGGGGTGTGGCTTGTATACAGTAAAATATTCAATACAAATTAAATTTCAATTTCAGTTTAACCTAATAGAATATTTTACCACCAAATAGTGTAAAATATATGATATCCAATATATTAGCAATGCCTCAAAATAATTCTTCTTACCTTAATTAATGTGTTTATTAAAGAGTTGTTTCAAAAGCTTAAAAAAAAGAGAAATCACAACTTTAGTGTAGGATATCTAATTTACAAACGAAACATATTAAAATCTTAATCTAGTAAAGATTAAGCTATTCAACTCTCATCTCAAAAGAAAAACTCTTACATACAACCAAAACATTAAAAGAGAACTTGAAATTTGAAAAAAGAAGTAATACAAAATTTACTTAAGTGAAAATGTTTAAAAAATGATAAATTTTATGCATAAATAGAGAGTAATATTCTAAATTATATATTCAATATAACCAACAATTGTTATGTTTGTTATTTAAAAAAAAAAATTCTTCTAAACGTATTATCTGGTCTTTTAAAAAATAAAGGCTAAAACGTGTGCTTAGGTTATGTTCATCCTTCATCACTAGATACATGTTGTAGAATTTCTCGTGATCACGTGAAGAAATTTCCATTTCACGAACTTCAATAAAATTAAACTTCCAATCTATAAAGGGTTCGGATTGTTGAGAATCAAACTAAATATATAAAAAAAGAAGGTTGACTTGAATTCTAATAAGTTGCGTAGTCTTATAGAAGTTTGCAAATTGATAATGAAGGCTCACCTATTTTTGGGTTGAATTTCAATGTACTAATTTTCATTTTTCTAGAGTATTGAGATAACAATTTAGTTGGTCCCATATTTAGTGTTAGTCATTAATAAATTTTCAACTCATTTTCAAAACGAGGAAAATAATAATAGTGATAATGGTTTTAAGAAGAATGTATGTAATATGTCGTAAATAGTACGTGTATATTTTGTATCTATCTTATTCAAAAATTTAATTGGATAATTTATTTAATATAAGCTCCATCTATTCAAAATTAAAATAAATGAATTAATTAATGGTCAAGTAGAAATTATAATACAATATAAAATTCATTAAAATTTGTTAAGAATCACCAATTTTAATTTATTAACTCTTAAATTATGAGAGAGAAAATAGTAAAATTTGAAGTGAAATGTATTATTTTCAATAAATTTTAGTTAATAATAAAAACTTTTGAGATCTTGTATCAAGAATAAATTGAATTGTAAATAAATTTGATTTTTTTGTAACACCCTACTTATGGTGTGACATTACCTAAATGTCTATTAAACATCATTCAACATATAATCTAAGCATAAGTAATTATGTATTTTAAAAATGATTATTGAAAGCATATGTTAAATATAAGAGTAAGTTCATGAATATTTCTTGATATTTTTTTATTGATTTGTTGTTTTAAGTATTAATTATTACATATTTTAATATGATTATTCATTTATTCGAATATAATTGATGAGTTACGTTTTATTTGAATCTTGGAATAGGTACGATTTGAGTTTTTGATTTGATTATTATGGGTGTAGTAAAATAAAACACATTCCTTCAAAATATAATTTAAATATACACTAAATATAAATATCTATATAAATATAAATGTTTGCAAAAATAAATCACAAATAAAATTATGATCCTCTTTGGATGTTAATTTTGCACCTCTTTAAAATAAAAAATTTCACCACTATTCAAGAAGAGAAAAAAAAAAATAATCTTATGTGAAATTTTCGAAAATTCTCTTGAGTGAAAATTTATTTATATAAGTGAAAATCTGGTCGAAACAAAAGTTTAATTGTAATACTATTTTTGTTTGAATGAAAAGTTTTTTTTTTTATCAAAAATAGGATTGAAAACAAAATGGATTTTGAATTCTATTTTTACTCGAATAAAAATAAAAACGAAAATAAGATATGAACTTATGTCCTATTTTCGTTTGAATAAAAATATCAAAATGTTATAACAAACCTAATTCATTTCAATAACTAAATATTACTAACCTTTTCAATGAAATGAGATGCAAAAACTTTAGAAACATATTTCTATCTTCAAAATTATTTGACTGTATTTTAATTTAAATAAGAAAATGTAACTCCCTGTTTAAAACATTATTTATTAGATAGAAAATTTGTATTAAGTGGATGAAATTATGATAGGAAAATAAAGAGAAAGGTGGGTTCTTTCTTTCTCTCTCTCTCTGATTCCACGTTTGGTCGTGTCATGGGACAGCAACACATTAGGTTCACAAACTCTGACCAACGACCACCACACACACTTCATAACTTCCAACATTGCTTCGCAAAATTCCATTTTCCCACTTTGACTTTTGTACTTCCAGTCCATGTGGATAAGACATATACATATCTAATAAGATTTTTTATTAAAAGTATTACTTTAATTCGAATATTTCTCTTAAGAACATCTTCTATAAATTATTATCAGAGAATCATAGGGCAATTCATGTGTGAAAGATGTTATTCTAACCCATTTTTATATGATTTTAATACTTTTCATTATTGACTTAATGTGATTCGAAAGTGGTCTTATTCTTAAGAAGGGTTGATTTCAGTAAAAGTATCCTTAAAACAGGGTACCATCAGCTTTTCTATAAAGTATTATTTTTGTAAATTTTCTTAAAATATATTAAAATATAACAATTGAGTAAACTTGTATTCCAGATTTATTTATTTTAGTTTCTTCATTTTTTTTAAAATAATATTTTTAATTATTGTAAACGTATAACTTGTTTGGTTTTATTTTATTTTTATAATTTTTTAAAAAATTCTTGCATTTTTAATCTTTATTATTAAATACAGTTAGTTTACTAATCAAAGTAAAATGTTTAATTAAGATAATCAAAATATTTAAATTAATTTTAATAAATAATTTCATATATTTTTCTTATTTTTCTATTCAATAACTTACCTTTAGCAATAAACATTTATTAAAAAAGTTATAATTTATTAAGACATTAATAAGAAATTTTCTATATATATATATAACGTTTTATAATGTAATTTTAAATTTCTTAGTTATAAGTAAACAAGAATTTAATATCAAATTTCATGTTTGAAAATCAATTCCCACATAATTTAAAGTTATTAACTTTTGATTCTCTATTATTTGTTGCATTAATTTATGTAGATCTGTGAAAGATAATTTTCCTCCGTAACATGTTCCATACGTAAAGTATTAAATATGTGACATGGGTCTGCACCATCACACCATAGAATTAATGGAAAAACATACCCATGAAGTAGGAAACTGAGAGGAAAATACCCTGCAAGAGGAACACCACCTGTTATATATATTCTCATTTAAAATTCATTTTTGTTATGTGTACCTTGGAATTGATGAGTTTATTTATCTATGCTATGCTAATCAAACCGCGTTTTTGGTGTTTCACACTTGTTCTTGACAGAGTCACCCCCACCCAAGCCTAAATTGCCCTCTTCCTCTTTCCTTCTGCACTTTTCTCTCTTACTCTTTTGCCTTCAAAGCTTTCATCTTTTTGCTATTTTCATTTGCCTTAGAATTTTATTCTTTCATTCTTCTCTTTTGTAAGCTCAGAGGTTGTTGTAAAGTTTTGCTCTTTTTCTGGGTTTTGAAGTTTTCCACTTCCACTCTGAAATTCCACAAGGTGTTTGATGTTGGTACTACCATCATAGGACTTCATAAATATGGTTTTGAGGCTTTCTCTCTTTCTGGTTCTCCTTGTGTTACACAACTCCTGCACTGTGGAATCCATTTTTGAGCATCTCAATCAGAATGATCTCAATGGATCTTCTCTTGCGGCAGTCAAGTTTCCTGATCATGCACACTTCAATGCTGATTCTTCATCCACGGAAACTGGGTGTAGTTTCTCAAAGTCAGAGAAATTTGAGTCTTCTGCAGCAACCTTGGTATCCAATGAAGGCACTGATGGTGAAAACGGAGAACCCTCTGTGGCAGCAGGACAGCACAAGCAATCTGTGAAACTCAATTTGAGACACCACTCAGAGAGCAAAGACGCTGAGCCTAAAAAGTCTGTGGTTGATTCTACAGTGAGAGACTTGAAGAGAATTCAGACCCTTTGGAGAAGGGTCATAGAGAAGAAGAACCAAAACACAATTTCAAGGCTGGAGAAAGCACAGGAGCAATCAAAGAAGTTCTACAAGCCGGAGGTGGCTGCTCCGGCGGCCACGCCGGAGTATTTCTCCGGTCAGCTTGTAGCAACCTTGGAGTCAGGGGTGAGTCTTGGCTCTGGTGAGTACTTCATGGATGTGTTTGTTGGCACACCTCCTAAGCATTTTTCTCTGATACTTGATACTGGTAGTGATCTTAATTGGATTCAATGTGTTCCTTGTTATGCTTGTTTTAAGCAAAATGGACCGTATTATGATCCTAAGGATTCTAGTTCTTTTAAGAATATAACTTGTCATGATCCAAGGTGCCAATTGGTGTCATCCCCAGACCCTCCTCAGCCTTGCAAGGCTGAGACTCAAAGCTGTCCATACTTCTATTGGTATGGGGATAGTTCCAACACAACTGGGGATTTGGCAATTGAAACTTTCACTGTGAATCTCACCACCCCTAAGGGAAAGTCTGAACTGAAGCTTGTTGAGAATGTCATGTTTGGTTGTGGCCATTGGAATAGAGGACTTTTCCATGGGGCTGCTGGATTACTAGGCTTGGGGAGAGGGCCATTGTCATTTGCTACTCAGCTACAATCCCTTTATGGTCATTCCTTTTCCTATTGCCTTGTGGATAGAAACAGCAATTCAAGTGTTAGTAGCAAGTTGATACTTGGTGAGGACAAGGAGCTACTCAGCCACCCCAATTTGAATTTCACTTCTTTTGTTGGTGGCAAAGAGAATCCTGTTGACACATTTTACTATGTTCAGATAAAGTCTATCATGGTTGGTGGTGAGGTGCTGAAGATTCCAGAGGACACTTGGCATTTGACAGCACAAGGTGGTGGAGGTACAATTATTGATTCTGGCACCACTTTGACTTACTTTGCTGAACCTGCTTATGATACAATCAAGGAGGCATTCATGAGGAAAATCAAGGGCTATCAACTCGTTGAAACGTTTCCCCCTCTAAAGCCATGCTACAATGTTTCTGGAGTTGAGAAAATTGAGCTGCCAGAATTTACAATCTTGTTTGCTGATGGAGCTGTCTGGGATTTCCCTGTGGAGAATTACTTCATCCAGATTCAACCTGAAGATGTCGTTTGCTTGGCTATTTTGGGGACTCCCAGGTCTGCACTTTCCATAATCGGAAACTATCAGCAGCAGAATTTTCACATACTGTATGATGTGCAGAAATCAAGACTTGGATATGCACCAATGAACTGTGCTGATGTTTGACATCTTGTTAGTGGTGGAAAACAAAATGTATAGGATGAACATGGCAATTCTTGGGGTTGATTTTTTTTCTTTTCATTGGGTTTTCCCATTGATGGACACTAGAAAGTGATATACACAGAAGACAGAAAAGAAAATCAGGTTTTGTTTCTTCAGGTGGTATAGTACTAGTCCTAGGTAATTTACAGGAACAAGGACATTACAAACATAAATGCTTCATTGTTTTGTACACATTTAACTGCTTCAATTTTGAGTTTCTTGTCCCTCTCAATTCAATATGATATTGTATCTCTGACTGCCAACTTTTGTTTTCTTTTTGTTTACCCATTCCCTGAAGCAAAATTGCTCCTTAAATCAGTTTACAAGAAACATGGTTCATAATTTCACTAACTGGCAATACCAACAATTTCTATGTTATGTCTGTATTCTATATTTCAAGCAATGATTTGCTGCAATATTTTCTAGTATTCTACTCTCTTTTTTTTTTACCATTTATTTTTATCAATACATTTCTTTTCTCTATAATCTTTGTTTTAAATTCTCCCTCTGTTTTTTTTTTTCTTGAATAACTGGTCAAAGGGAATATGGTTGTTTCCAATATCAGACAGCAATACAATATATTATTCAATGGCTCCTCTGTTAGGTATGTGGCACAATTGTTTAACAAAAACAAAGAAAATGAGCATGCAAACAAAGACTAGGTCAGCTTTGTTGGTAGGTATCTCTTTATCATACATTTTGCCATCTTCCTTTATTTATTGTGTTTGGGAATTTCAGGGTACCCTAAGAAAATAACACAGGCCTATCTATTTTAAATTTTATAAATGTATTTTTTCTTTGCCTATCTATTTTAAAATTTATTAATGTAATTTTTTTTCTTCCTATCCAATTTAAATTTTAGTGATGTTACTTCTTCATATACCTTTCTTCCTGTTAAATGATTCTGAATACTAGTATTGATAGAACAGTGCTCCATCTATATAAAGTTTGAATGGAAACTTCAATTTGTATGACTAGTTAAAACCATGTTTTATTTTATACTATAATATCTTTTAAACTAATTCTTACAAAACAATAGTTTTTAACAATAACAATAACTCATAATCAAATAATAAAACAAGAACAATTAACTATGTTTTTTCTTTCCATGAAATATAACTGTATATTATTTATTTTATCCCTAAAAGGTTTATGTTTAATTCCTTAGTTCCTGTAATTATTTTGATCTTAATTATTTAATTTAAAACAAAAAATATTTATTTATTTATTTTCCTTATAATATGTTGATAAAATAATTTTAGTTCCTAGAAAATATTTTCAAAAAGACCAATTTTAAATGAAGAAAATACCAAAGAGACCAAATTTGAAAGAAAAAACATATATTTAATACAACAATAAATTTGAGACTAAAAGTAAAAACATGAATATATATCACACACACAAAAAAAATCAAATTTTTAAAAAATATATATATAGTAGTTAGGTGGGTTAGTATCCTTTTTCTCCTCTAATTGTTTTATCTACTTTCGTTTTGCTATAAATTTTCTCTCGTCACACCAAAGACTTGTATTATTTGTTCCAAGTTAGTGCACAAAATTATTCATACCAAAACCCTATTTGAAAAGGGTTGTGATAATGAGGTATGAAAAGTGATTCTTCACTAGTGACCTAAATAATTGTGAGTGCATTCAATTGGTCGTGTATTATATGGAGAATAATCCTCTTTGCCTAGGAAGCATAGTTTTCTCCTTCAAGCAACACTATTAGAAGCATGTAAGCAAATAGTACAGTTATAGTATTTTTTTAACTTTCGAGACACGTTTATCAATGAGTAGAGTGAGTCATCAATCAAATCAATTAGGTGGACCATGTTTAATGTAAAATATGAAAAATAGTTAGAATACCCTTTCATTGTGGGATACACGTGAATTGGGACACACCAAGGACACATCACATGCATCAAAGGGAACACACCAATTTTAGGGATGAGAAAGGGTCTATGGATACTATAGTAGCTAGCTATACACATAAAGTTATTAGTATTTTTTTTATATTGTGATTAACTATTGAAATATTTATTAATACTGAAAAATAGTGAGCTTCAAATAAAATTATTTTCTTAAAATATAAACTTGGATCAAATTACAATATTAAAATTTAAATCAAAATAAAATTTCGCTTTAAAACATTGGTATAAGTAAAATTTGTCTTTCTAACATTTCACTTTTTTTAACACGAAAAATTAAAAAATTACACGAAAAATAAAAAATAGGTAAAAACTATGGGAAAAATGCACAAATAAAAAATAAAATATGAATAAATATTAAAGTATTGTCATATTTCTATGTTTATTTTAAAAGTACATATAATTAATTAAGAAAATATCTAAAGATTTAGAAAAATACTTTTTAGAAATAACAACTCTTTAAAAATAGAATGAGATCTAATAATTTTAATAATAAAGCTTTTTTTATATAATATATTTATTATCTTTTTAAAAATCATTTTTCTTTTATATATTTCTTTGATCTTTAAAACTTTTTTCTCTCTACTAATCTGATTTAATTATCAAGATAGTAGATTAATCCTTGAAGAATTCTTTAATTTGAATCAATCAATTTTTTCATTTGTGTAAGTTGAATGTCACTCTTTTTCTGTTATTTATTGCATGTGAACATTCTTTCACTTGCATTGCATCTTTTTACTCATCTATATGAGTATTTGTTGGTTAGTTCATAACAGTATGTCCTGATCGTTCTTGTGGTGTTTTCTATGTATAAATAGAGTATCCTAAAAGTTGGGAGGAGTTTCGCTAGTTAGGGTCTAGTGAGTTGTTGGTTAGGTAAAGGAGGCTAATTGCACATTTTTTATGTGATTGATACCTTGTAATTGCTAATTGTATGATTGTACAATGATTTTCTCACATGATTGAGCTATGTGATGAAATATGATAGGTTGAACTAAGATTAGGGCTTTGATTACTTGAATTGTATGATGAAATTGGAAATGTTGCCTAATTGGTATTACAAATGATATTGTTTGAATTAGTAAAGGTTGTGTAAATTCAAATTTTGGTATGTTTTGACATTTGTGTTTGTTGTTGGACTGAATTTGTAGGGTTGGAATAACATAAATCTATATAATTATGTTTTTTTTTTGCATGATTATGCAAACTCGTTGGGAGAGAATATACTCGTGGGGTAAAGCCAAAGTCAGAGAGTTACTGACTTAGTGATCGCTTGGCGAGAATATACTCCTTGGGTGAAATCAAAGTTAGAGAGTTGTTGACTTGGTGGTCGTTGGACGAGAATATACTCATTAGGTGAAACCAAAGTCAGAGAGTTCACTAGCTTGACAATAGTTGGGCGAGACAAGTCTTGTATGGACAAATTTTTGAAAAAATTCAAGTTTTTGAGTTTCAACGATTAGTTCACTAGCCAAGCTATCTAGTGTTGGGTGGTGGGCTTTCAAGCACTACTCACTAAGCGAGTAGATATCCTCGGCTAAGTGAAATTATAAAGCTTGACTTTATTTTCTTATATGTTCTATTATGATAAGTTTAATGTATCATAATGTGAATGTAAAAATTGATAGATGGCTTATGATGTTTATCTAAGAACGATTGATAAATTTATGGATAAATATGCATGCGAATAACGATGTATGAAATTATGATGATGATGAAGCTTGTTAATGAATATGAGTATTATATGTTTTTGGCGTAATTCGAGGATCCCATGGAGATATTCTATGGTGGCGTTTCTTTAGTGTATATATTGATATATGGATTCATTATTGATAGTTATCATGTCGCTCTAATAACCATCTAATCTTAAGTAGAGAAGGGTGAGGTATATGGTGAGAGGTGTAGGAGGTTCTAATCTAAGAGCTTTACCTTGATCAAAGATGGTTGATGAACTGACTTTGTTTGTAGTAGCTTGGGTGGGCGATTGTTCCATCACCACAAGTGCATAACTCACCAGAGTTTGATATCAGTACATGTATTCAAAAATTGAGTTAGTATGAGTTTTTTTATGTGATATGTTTCTTTCATGAATGAGTGATGTATAATAATATCTCTATGTTTATTTTGTAAAAACCTCTTTTGCAATTAGCTTACCGTGTTGTTTCATTTAGTGTTTCTGTGTGTTTGTTTCTTTTGTGATGATCACCTTATTGGTGCGAGCAGATGGGGGTATGTATTGAAACATCTCATGTGTTATTGTGGAGTATTCTTCCTTGTCATATAGTAGTTTTCCTTAGTTGTTATATATATATATATATATATATATATATATAATTTTCTTGTTATGATTCATTTTTTAGATTCTTCCTTGTTGATGAGTGCATATTTATGCTTGAAAATTCAAAATTATAACAAGATTATTGTGCTTAAATGGTTGATTTGAAGAGAGTTTGTGACGATTGGATTCATCAATTTTGAGAAGCAAAAGGAGTTAAAAAGTGATTTTTAGTTGCATAAATTATTCTGGATATTCTTACGTTTATTGTGTAGCTGAAATTACAAGTTTATTGGTCCAAAGATGCAAAAATGAGGCCAAAAATTAAATTTTTTTAGGTTTAATAGCAATTTAGTCCCCACTTGGTTGAAAAATCTCAATTTAGTCCCTCGTTATAAAAGTGTTTTACATTAATCTAACTTTTAAAATAGGGGGTCAGATTGGTCCTTTTCGTTAAATATAAGTTAACGAAATTAATGGATGATGATGTGACACAGCTTAAAGCTGATGTGTTAGATTGGTCCCTCGTTAGCTTTAAGTTGTGTCACATTCATCATCCATTAATTTGTTAACTTATATTAACAGAAAGGACCAATCGACCCACTATTTTAAAAAGTTAGGACTAATTCAAAAACACTTTATAACGAGGGATAACCTAAATTGAGATTTTTCAATCAAAGTGAGGATTAAATTGGCTATTAAACCTTTTTTTATTCAAGAAAAGAGGTTGAATGTAGCCCTGTTTTAACAATTATTCACACCTCTTTTCTAAACCAGGTCGAACAAATAAGCGCAAACACTAAACATTTTTTGTTATACCCCCTGAGTTTCCTACTCCTACCCATCCTACCACTAATTAAAAATTTCATCTGATGTTGCAATCCACCATACACAGATTCAACCAATCAGATCATGCCACCTCATCCTTCTTGCCACGTCAACTTTACCTTTCCCACATAAAAACCCTAGTCCTCCTCTGTCGTCAGCCATGTCGTGCCGTTGCAAG